ATAAATGCTTGAGGGGATGGATACCCATTTTGCATGATGTGGTTATTACATGCCTGTATCAAAATATCTCATGTATCCTGTAAATATATATACCTACTATGCAACCACAAAAAATACAAATTAAAAACAGTCATGGCTCTTAACAAGAATGTGCTAAAGCAACCATGGAGTTAGCACACCCATGATATTCTAATCAATACCTTTGCGTTCCCAAAGTTAGCTTCAGTTGCTTTTTGTAAGTTTTTGCTGGTTGTAGGAAAGGGGAGAATCAAGGAGAGACAATCTCATGTATTTTCATTAATTTATAAGCATCCCATAAAAAATGTATAGCATCAGATTTCTAGGTTTAGCTCAGACCTCAAAGCAGTCTTCAATTTGCCTTGCCAGATCACTTTTCCTAAGGCTCAAATTTCTGAGTGGTTTATTATTTTAGGTGTGGGAAGCAGTGATGGTGAGGGTGACATGTTTAGTTTTAAAACTTTTTTTTTTTTAGAGACAGGGTTTCACCTTGTTGATCAGGCTGGTTTCGAACTCCTGACCTCAGGTGATCCACCCACCTCGGTCTCCCAAAGTGCTGGGATTACAGGCGTGAGCCACCGCGCTCAGCCCTAAAACCTTTTTTTTTTAAAGATGCATGGAATTTCAGAGTAGAAAAGGCAACATGGGTGGTCATTCATTTGTTTTCAGATTAAGATATTGGGGCTAGTAAGATTTAAATAAATTTCCCCAGTGCAAAGAAGAGCCCAAGGAGCCAGGGCTAGGATTCAGGTCTCCTCCCTCCCAAGCCGGTGTGAGATCCGGGTACTCAAAGCACGGTAGTGGACCAGCATCATCCAGGAGCCTGTTAGAATGGCAGGCTCTCAACACCCACTCCAGAGCCAACAGGCAGGACCTGATTCGCCACAAGATCTCCAGGTGAGGTGGACAAGTAAGGTTTTGGAAGCACTGCTGTCCTGGGCTTGCTGGCTCATGGTGAGGAGGGGAGGTGTTCTCGGCCAATGTCCTTAGGTTCATCCTCTCACCTGGTCATGACACGCTCACCACTTTCTCCAGCAAATGTGTGTGCCAGGCTCTAGAAGCATTCTCTCTCTCCCCCTCCTTAGAGTCATTCAGACCACGACAGACTGCAGTCTCCGTCTATGATAGACCCAAAGCCTCTCCCGGCCTGGCACATCTCCCTCTCTGAAAGTGAAGGTATTGACTTTGCAGCTGAAAAGGAGACCAGGGCTGGGTACAGAAGAGGCAGGCGTTCAGGGTTGGGGTCTGGCTGTTCCATTGCCAAGGCTGTCTTGCAAGCCTCAGTTTTACCCACTGTGAGCAGCCACCTAGTTCCCTGTCCTCAGTGCAGAGAGGTGGGAAAGAAATCAGGTGAAGGGTTTGGAGGCGGTATCACGGGAACATTCTAGGGTCTGAGCAGAGGAAAGAGAAGGAAGTCGTTTGCCTCTTCCGGGTCACACCCACGAGTCAGTGACAAGTCAATGCAGGACCACCCCTCGCCTTAGCATTCACAGACAGGCAGCCGCGGCAGGGGTGAGAAGCTGCACGGGAGGCCGTGCTCACCTTAAATCTGGCTATTTTGCTACATCTTGCCAGGAGCCTGGAGCAGCCCTGCCCTCCGCTGGGTCTGAGCAGCAACCGTGAACACGCTGCCCTCTCCCGCAATCCAAGTCCCACACCAATGCCAGAGCCAGGAGAGCATTTAGAGCCAGAGTTCTGCTCAGGGAGACCACATCCTACTTCGAAGGACCCTGGGGACATGCGCCTTCGTTTCCTAGCGGCTGTGATGAAGGGGCAGGGGTGTGGGGCAAGGCCCTGTCCTCAGGGGGCGTGTGGGCTCGCTGAAAAACACACAACTCCATCCGAGATGGAAGGCTAGCTCGAGGCACAGTGGACGCGGGCTCCACCAGCCCCAGTCGTGGGGAGAGGGAGGCAGGAGAGAGTTGGCAGAGATGCAGGAATACAAACAGGCACTACCTGGCCCGAGAGCCCCATTTCCTCAAAAACCTGCCTTAGAATGAAGCTCAGACCTCCGCACTAGGGCCACCTCCCACAATCTGGGCCTGGGGCACAAGCTGTCCGTCTGGCAAGGTGGCTGACAGGCTCCCAGCGAATTTGCTGCTCCAAGTCACCTTTTCAACCAGGAGGCTTTACAAGCAGTAGCAGCCTGCCAGCCTCGCAGGCCAAGGGCACAGACGGCACAGCCCACAGGACCTGGCCAGGGCATCTAGCCTCCTGGTGCAGCACTAGACTCACGCCCTGAGCCTGGCTCCTGCCCAGTGCCCCCAGGGCAAGGCAGGGTTCCGTCCACCCACTCTGCAGAGCCTCCCAGGCCCCCAGAAAAGCCCACAGGGGCAGGAAGACATGCTCTGCAGGAGCCCCAGCACCCTCCTGCAGACACTTCTCCAGCTCAAACCCAATCTTTGGGTTTGCCAGGCCTCATGTTCCTCAAGAAGCCTGGGGTCTTGTAGCATCCTCTGCACTGGGGAGCACTCTCCTCAGCACCCTGGGCCACATTGGCCTCTGCTCCCAGTGCTGGGACATCCATGTGGAGGCTCCACTCTGCCCCCAGGACCATGGCCTTGAAGCCCACATTTCTCCCAGAGATCAAGCTGCTTCTTTCTAGCACCACACCGTCTGCTCAGAAAGGCGCTGGCTGTTTCCCCAGTGAGAACCGCCTGGATCAAAAGTATATGCCAGATGAAAACCAAGATAAGCCAGAGACAACAGGACACAGGGGTCTTTTTCCATATATATATACATTCAATTTTTTCCCTAAGGAACATATTGTTCTCTGGAGCCTTCCACTGGAGGTAGAGACTCAGGCAAGATCTTAAGCCTGTCTGTGCCTCAGTTTCCCCAAGTGTACAATGGAGAATACCAGTACCCGCCTTGACGTAAGGATAAAGTAAGTTAATATGTATAAGCCACTTGGATCAGCACCTGGTAGACGGTAAACACGCCATAAATGTCAGCTATTATGATTAAGTTGAACCAATGTTAATTTAGCCAGTTAAAAACTCCAAACAGCCTGCGACAAAACGGGCTGGTGATCTGGGAATATTTCCCGAGATAAACTTCTGCGCACAGAATCCCGGGTTAGGCTCTGTTGCATGCTGTTAAGGGTTTCCATTCATGTGCCTAAATTTCCCTCCAGCAAGAAAGAGCGGCTTACATTCACGTCAATAGTGCTGGAAGGCTCCTGCCCGTGAGGTCTGGAAAAGAGGCAGGGCCCTGAACTGGGCTGTTTTGTATGGACTTGAGGGGAGACCCAGCCTGCCCAGGGACAGCCTCCATCCACAGAGTGTGGTTGATGGCACTGCAGCTTGGGGGCTTTGTTTTAAATGTCAAGTGCACCCTCCCAGCCCAATCTGGTTTTCACCTTGAGGAGAGCTGGCCACGACACCACCGACCCCTGCCCAGAAATGCTAAAGGGACTCCAATCAAATTCCCAAGTCTGAGCCTGGCCAGTTTACCCACGGCTTTAAGGACAATTCAAGTGGAAAGAAAACAATATATTCCCCATCCTCAGTGACAAGGCCGAAGGAGCCGACGGATAGAAACTGAGCAGTCCCCTGAGCACCCCCAGAGCACTCCAGAAGAGAGACACAGCAGAGAGACACAGGCTGGGACACGTGCCCAGGGCTGGTCCGCCTGAATATCTGCAGGGGCTGGGGCCAGAGCACCCATGAGCTCTGCCTCCTGTATGCCAAACTGTTAAGTTTTAAATCAAGCTAACAAAGTGAAACAGTTAAAATAGGTTCTATCCTCTTACCTCAAAAAGTACGCTGCCATGACTACCTGGAGGGTCAGGTTCATGCTGTGGCCAGTGGGGAGGGCTGCCCCAGCCTGGTCGCCTTCGCTTCCCCCACATCTCCCAACCTGGGCTTCATGGCCCCCCTGCAAGGAGCCTCATGCATACACACGAAGAGTTCCAGCTAGTGTGTGTCCTGTTCCACCGGTAATGTGCCCTTGCCACACCCATGCCCGGGTGTGGGGTGGACACGCGGCCGCAGTCTGCCTGACACGGTGGGAGGGGCTGCACAGCTGCAGGATGTGCTTAGCACACTCCAGGGTCCCGAGCAGCAGGAGTGTCATCCAGAAAGGGGAGCGCAGAGGACACTGGACATGGCCCTCGGCCCTCTCTTGCCCGGGGCTAGAGGCAGTGCCATCAAAGGGCCCAGATCTTGTCCTCCTGAGCTCACCAGCAGAGAGCATCCTGTTCTTCCAAGCTGTGGTCGACCCTTCCCATGTGGTCACTTTGCTTTTAAAAATATGTCTTGGCTAATGTCTCAGAATCAGTTCATGCCACCGTTTCTGCTTTTGGCCACATGGAAACCTGCCAAGTAAATTTTGAACTTGCCTAATATGGTGACTACAGGTAATGTATATTTCAAAATTGCTAGGAGAGTACATTTCAAATGTTCGCATTCTAGAAAGTAAGTGGTCAGCTGCGGTGGCTCATGCCTGTAATTCCAGAACTTTGGGAGGTTGAGGCGGGTGGATCACTTGAGATCAAGAGTCTAGCCTGGCCAACATGGTGAAACCCCATCTCTACTAAAAATACAAAAATTAGCCAGGCATGGGGGCACACGCCTGTAGTCCCAGCTACTCAGGAGGCTGAAGCAGAAGAATTGCTTGAACCTGGGAGACAGATATTGCAGTGAGCTGAGATCAGCCACTGCACTCCAGCCGGGCGACAGACCAAGACTCCGTCTCAATAAACAAACAAACAAACAAAGCATCTGAGGTGATAACTATGTTAATCATCTTGATTGAATCAGCCCACATTGCACACATATATGATAACTTTGTGGTCCATAATATATAATAATTATAATTTGTCGGCCCATTGCAGTGGCTCATGCCTGTAATCCCAGCACTTTGGGATGCCAAAGCAGGCAGATCGCTTGAGGTCTGGAGTTCGAGACCAGCCTGGCCAACATGGTGAAACCCCATCTCTATTAAAAATACAAAAATTAGCTGGGTGTGGTAGCACATACCTGTAGTCCCAGCTACTCGGGAAGCTGAGACAGGAGAATCACTTGAACCTCCAGAGGTTGCAGTGAGCCGAGATTGCACCACAGCACTCCTGCCTGGGTGACAGAGTGAGACTTGATCTCAAAAAACAATAATAATTTGTCAATTTACATTAAAATTTTAGAAATGAACTTACATATCTAAATGCAAGTAAGGAAAAAAAAAAAAGCCAACCCAACAAATTAGAATCTTGCCTGGCATTAAAAAACTAAATTTTAAGATATTCATGTTTTCATCAAAAATAAAGGAACAAGTGAAATACAATAGACAATATATTGATAACTATCAATGCTAAATGGCAGGTACACAGGGGATTCATTTTTCCCTCTACTTTTGTGTTTGAACATTTTCACAATTAAAGGTTAAAAGCAAAGTTTTTGAGCCACACAGCCAAAACAAGAACGTGGTAAGATTTGAAATCACAATATTATAGGTGAGTTACACAAACCACGGGAGGGCTGGGCACGGTGGCTCATGTCTGTAATACCTGTACTTTGGGAGGCCAAGGCTGGTGGATGTTTTGAGGCCAGGAGTTTGAGACCAGCCTGACCAACATGGTGAAACTCCTTCTCTACTAAAAATACAAACATTAACTGACTGTAGTGGCGCATGCCTGTAGTCCCAGGTACTCTGGAGGCTGAGGCAGGAGAACCACTGGGACCTGGGAGGCAGAAATTGCAATGAGCCGAGATGGCACCATTGCCCTCCCGCCTGGGTGACAGAGTGAGACTCCATCTCAACAACAACAACAACAAAACACCACAGGAGAAGCACACACTATCCCAGTTTGCATTTTGTAAATACTATGCTGAGACAACCTAGGACTAGGAGAGGAGGCAAACCAGCCCTGGAGGCAGACAGGCCAGGACGGTTCAAGTTTCAAGTTTCCCAGGTCAGGGGCCCTGGAACCCTCACCTGGTCCTACCTGTGGTTCCCACTTCATCCAGGAGCATTTATCAAATGGTGACTTATCTGATCCTCTCTGGTGCTCTTAGTGGATCAGAATTCCAGTCCGTGACCCAAGAAATCTGGCCACAAAGCCTGAGAAAGTGACCTAGGCACCAGTTCACACTGCGCCCTGCTCCGCCCTGGGGCCATCTCACCAATTCAAACAAAGCTAAACTGGAGGTGTGGCCTCTGCACAAACAACAGCTGAGAGAACCTCGAGGCCTGGTGTTTACACAGAACCTTTCCCTAGAAGCTCAGAGTAATTTAGGGACACCCATTAATTAACTTAATGAAGTCTCTCAAGCCTCCTGCCCCATCCCTGCCTCCCAGCCACCGAACAGCAAAGCCAGGCTGGGGAGCAGGAGGCAGGCTTCACTCACACACAGCCAGAGTGTTACAGGGACACCCTCAGGCCACCATTCCTGGGGGCTATTGGAGAACCTTGAACTTTGGAACACAGTGGCTCACTCTGAAAATAAACAAAATCTGTTAACAATAAGCACTTTTCCCTAAGTTGACAACAGAGACAGGAAGGTTTTTGTATGTGCAAATAAGGGAACATCTGTTTGCTAATTGTGGACTGTGGGCAGGAGAACCTGGTACCAATTACTGGGCTTCCCACCTGTGCTGAGAAGGCCTCCTACCGCCCCAATCAGGTCCCCGAGACTTCATAAAAATCTTTTAAATGGGTGCCAATATGTTTGACTTTTCTGCCTCTGGAATTTCTGCTCCCACTGATCTGCTTTAAAGATAGATTCACAACCTAACTCTTTCAGAAGCAGGAATTTGGAACGATTCCTTCAACAATCCTGCTAGCAGTCCAGATGGCCTCGTGTGAAGAGCTCACTCTAGAACAGCACAGGTGAGGACAGGTGCAGAAGGGAGGAGTCCAACAGTCCACGAATCATGCACCATCAGTTTTCCTAAAAATTACAGCCCAGCTCAAGCCCCTGACTGTCTCCAGGCATTGCCTGAAAATGATAAGGAAGCACCCGGCCCCTTTGGTGAGAGGCACTTTTCCAGTTGAGATCCCTCAGGAATAAAATGTGCTGTGAAGGGTCAGCACCTATGGTCATCAGGCCCATGCCCCTCATCTCCTATGGGCCCTAGGAAAGCAGCTGTGGGTATCTGTAGCAGAGCAGGACAGAAGGTAGAATGACTCAAGGGCCAGGAAAGACCATTACCCACCAAGCAATTACCCACAACTTCAGCCTCTCGGCCCTTCATTACTAACTGGGAGGACCCATCACAGGAAAACCACAGCTGAAGAGAACAGGAAGCCCCTCCCAACCCTGAGCCTCAAGGGAAAAGGTGAAAGGTCAACATTAGACCACTAGCCACACCAGCTGCCGCAAGGGTACTGTCCCATACAAAAGTAGAGATTGCAATCTTCTTGTAAAAATTCATCTTCTCGGGTCAGGTGCCGAGGCTCATGCCTGTAATCCCAACACTTTGGGAGGCCAAGGCGGGTGGATCACCTAAGGTCAGGATTAAAGACCAGCCTAGCCCCATGGCAAAACCCTGCCTCTACTAAAAATACAAAAATTAGCCGGGCATGGTGATGTTAGCCTGTAATCCCAGCTATTGGGGAGGCTGAGGCAGGAGAATCGCTTAAACTTGGGGGGTGGAGGTTGCAGTGAGCTGAGATCTCGCCACTTCACTCCAGCCTGGGCAATAAAAGCAAAACTCCTTCTCAAACACACACACACACACAAATTAACTTTCTCAAAGAAACAGCTAGCTAGCCCTTTAGAACACAGATGGGAATTTCAAGTTCAGAGCCATTTTATCCAATGGTGATGCATGGAGGATATTTTGAAAGTTTGAAACGACTTTCTAGTAACAGAAGGCTCTCTCCTACAATCCTTCTCTGGACCAGCAAAGTCACCAAATGCTACAGCTGCTTTTTAAAAATAGTTTCATTTCACTTAAACAAAACAGACTTCTTAAAAAGTAAGTTTTCAGGCCAGACGTAGTAGTTCACGCCTGTAATCCCAACACTTTGGGAGACCAAGGCAGGAAGATCGCCTGAGCCCAGGAGTTCCAGACCAGGATGGGCAACACAGTGAGACCTCATCAAAAAAGAAAAGAAAAAATTAGACAGGAATGGTGGCATGAGCCTGCAGTCCCGGCTACTCAGGAGGCTGAGGCGGGAGGATCACTTGAGCCTGAAAAGTTGAGGCTGCAGTCAGCTGTGATTGTGCCACTGCATGCCAGCCTGGGCGACAGAAGCAGCCTCTGTTTCAAAAAAAAAAAAAAAAAATTTAAGTTTTCAACTGAAAAATGAATGCTAGGTTAAATGACGAATGTGGACTGCACATGAGTTGAGGACGAGCCAATTCCTCTTCACACTCTCTGTTCTAAAATCTGGTATACAGTAATCACCAACGTGTCGTAAACCTCAGCCCAAACTTCAGCTCCTGATGGAAAATATGCACTACATTACTGTCATTAATCATTTTTAAATCTTCACTTTTGAAAAAATAAAGTATTTTTTCCAAGCAGCTTCAAAGAACTCCTAAATGTGTATGAACCTTGCGTACTGTTGCCGTAATCCAACTGAAGGACATTTTAATCTCTTTGAAGAAACAGTAGTTTTGTACCGTGAAATTAATCTTTCGCTTCTGATAAACGTGGCATGAAGTAGACATCTAAAATGGAATGGAAACTTCTGTGGTTTTTTTTCAAGGCCATACCGAACGACCAAACTTAGACTCTTCAGGACAGCACAAATTGGAATGATCCGAAAATAACTTAGTCTACAATTCGCTGCACACCTTTGATGCGGAGAATAGTGGAGACATTGTTTTAGTAATCACGTGACTGAGAACAAGCTGGACAAATGCATGTTAATGAAACGATCAGGGAATCAGAAAGAGATAGTCCTTCCAAGACATACATCTGAACTGGAGTCGGTGCATATAAACGTGAAAACAAGGCTAGAGGCATCTGCGAGCCGTGACTGCCTGCTGCATTTGCGACCACCTCAAGTGCACGTTACCCCGCGCTGCACCTTGTTTAGTTCGGAATACCGGGAAACTGCTACAGCTGGACGCCTACTGGTGGGCGCCTACTCTCCCGTGTCCACATTTACAAGTCTAACAATCAGGTCTGGTTTCACGTGCTTTGCTGCTACCCAGGCTTTCCTTATAATGGTTAGCACAAAACAAGGGACCCAGGAGGTTAGCGATACCAGGAAGCCACGCATTGAATGATGTTATAGAAACAGCCACATGAAAGTCAGGTGGACGGTGTCACCTTAGCAAGCAACTTTCTTAGCCTCTTCGAGCCTCAGTTGGCTCATCTGCAAAATGGGGGCAATAATAGCTCTTTAGTAGAATTGTGAAAATTAAGTGAGATAATGTTCTAAACCCCATACGTAGCACAATGCCAGTTTCAAGGCTTCTGAAGTCCATAGGTGAAATTCGCTGGCTTACAGGATCTAACACAGCATAAAGGTAGAGTCACGGTAAATTTGCTCACAAGTTCTATACATTGCAGTACCCATGCCTCTCGACCAAGTATTTACGTGGGACAAAGGTGCCATCAGCAGTTTCTCCAGAGCCTATGTTCTGGGGCTTTGGTCCCCATCCAATCCAGGAGTGGCGCCGCCGACACAAACCAAAGGGCAATCGCTGGTTTCATCAACAGGTGCCAAAGAAAAGGCGCCAGGCACAAGGTCAGGCCGGCTCCCAAGTCAACCCCCGCCCCACGCCGGGATTCTCGAGAATACGCAAAGCGCTCCAGCCGGCTCTCCAACAACCACATCCTGCTGCCGCGGGGACCGGAGATCCCCGAGGAGGGGCGGTCGGCCTCCGTGCGCCACGCCCAGCCGGAGTGCTCTCCAGAGTCCCCAGCCCCAGTTCATTCAAAAAGCCACCCCTCTGCCCGCGACTCCCACGCCCCGGTAGTCCCCGCGCCGCCCGATTCCCTCGGGAAAGGGGGTACCCGTCTTCCCAAAGCTGGGAGAAGGCGGGCGCCCTCGCCTCCGGGCCGGACTCACCCAGCGTGGCCACCGTGCCGGCCTCGAACAGCAGGCAGTCGCCGCGGCCGCGCGCCTCCAGCAGTACACTGCAGTCCCCCGCTGCCCCCAGGCGCCCCAGCAGCCGCAGCCCTTTGCTCAGGGCCATCGGCGCCGGGCCCGCTGCGGCGGGGGCCGGGGCCGCGTACCCCCGAGGGCGCGATGCCAGCGACAGTTCCCCGTGCGCCCGCAACTTCCCAGAGTTTCACTTTGCGCCGCCGCTCCCGCCGCGCCAGGCTCCTCCCCGGCCTCCTCCCCTTCCTCCTCCTCCCCACACCCGCCTCCCCGGCTGGGGCAGGTGAGGGCGCGCCACCGCCTCCCTCCCGGCCCCGCGCTCCGCGCTCCCCCCAGTGGCCAGGCAGCTGCGTGAGGCCGCGCCCAGGGACTGAGGCTCCCGGCGGGCGGGCGTGGAGCGGAAGGGCCTCCCAGATGCCACGCATTCCTCGCCGCGGAGGAGGATGCCCCGCGCGGGGCGCCCCCGGGAGCCTGGCCGCGATGCCGGCCGCTCGAAGCCTTATATGGGCAGGCCGGCCCGGCAGTCCTCCAGGCTGGACCCGCCGCCTGCTCCCTCCCGGGGCGCTGCGCCTCCGTGTGTGGTCGGCTCCTGCGACCCTGGACGAGTCCTTTTGACCCTGCGTGCCTGGTCTCCCTGCGGTGAAGCGGGGTCATAACTGCGTCTACGTGGGCGCCGAGGACTGAGTTAATTTGCGGAGGCGCTTAGCGGGTGCGGGGCGTGTGGAGCGGGCTGGAGAAAGGTTGCCTTTCACTAGCGTTCTGTCTCCGAGGCTGTTGCGGTCACCGTCCTCGCCAGGGAGAGGTGTTGAGGGTCAACGGTGCGTTGTCGCCGAGAGACCTGGGGCTGTGAACCAGACCACGACTCCCACCACGTGACCCTGCCTTCCCTGCGCTCCACTTTCCTCGCCTGTCAGATGGTGACAGTGCCTTTCCGCCAGCCCTGAACACCCGCATGTGTCCGTGCGTGTACGCGAGAGTGTGTGGCCTCGCAGCCCAATCCCCTGAGGCTCAGCCTTCTGACTCCAGGTTCTAGCACCGAGGCCCGGCCTGTTAGAGCTGCAGGGCAGGTGGGGTGGGGGTGGGAGTTTAGGGCTGAGTTGGAATCACCCTTTGGGGCGTCTAGCGGCTTAATTCCCTTCTCTTGTGATGGGTACGTGGGGATGGCCCGAGAGGCCTCCATCAGGTGCTTCCATCGCCCCCAAACAAACTCAGTTCCTCTCTCACCCCATCCTGCTGCACTGGCCAAACTGTTTGTCTCTGGGACTTGTTCTAGAGCCAAGCAGAACATTGCCATGTCCTTTCCGACATGCAGTAATGGCCGGACAAGCCATCCTCAGAGGACAACCTCTCAGGTGATGACTGGGTAATAAATATTAACAACCCCAGTAGGTTGTTCGTATTTATTACTCAGTTATCTTGACCCTCAGCCCATTTCCTGGCCGACGAACTCCGCCCAGGTCAAGCGTGAGTGCTCAGCATCTCAGGCCTAAAGCTCCTCAGCCGTCTGAGCAGCTTCTTCCTGTGTAAATGGAAATATTGCTACCTCATGAAAACAGTGCCCGTTCAATGAGGCAGATTGGCCTTTGGCCCACTTTTTGACCCAAAGCTCACTTCTTTCAGGGAGCCTTCCTGGAATGCTGAGGTCCCAGATAATTGTGCTTGTATAACACTCAGATTTACAGACTTTGGCTCTCAACTACTCATATGGTGCTTGAGAAATGTTTTTATGTCTTTTCTCTTAGCCCTGTTTTGCAAATGAAGCGGTAAGGCCTTAGGGAGGGGACCCAGTCTTCCATTTGTTATTCTCTCTCTTCCCTCCTAACTAGCATCAAGTGGTGTGAAGTTCTGCACAGCGGCGGGGTGTACCTATTTTAGAAATGTTTAGAAATGCTCCTGCAGTGAGGACCTGCACTTGAGCTTCACAGCTTATAGAATCCAAGTCACCATCAACTGAAAAATGAACCACTGAGAAGAAAAAAAACAAACCTTCCAATTAAACTAGAACATGCCACTAATAGTCATCTCCGCCCAGATTTAGACAATGTTAAAATGCACATCTCAGACTCAAGGAACAACAGTGCTCTTCCTCTGTGTCTGAGGATTGGCTGGGTGAGCCAAGAGCCTGCTGGTTTTGCGGCCTCCGCCCTCTGGTTTCGGGTGGGACAGCCCACCTGGGCAGCAGAGGCAGGAGGCAGCTTCCTCACATGCACACTGGCTTGATAGACCAGGGTACCCAGGCACTGGCACCTTTCGCAGATGGAGCAAGTAACTGACCTTGAGACATTCAAGGAAAAGATTGGCTCAGACACCTAAACCCCCACTGGAATCTGGGCAAAGGAATGGGCCCATCTGCAGCAGGAAGGTTGGGCATTCCACTTTCTCAGATGTAGAATGCCTGGAGTGCAGGGAATTGGGAAGGGGAGAAGGTAGGGAGCCAGGGAGCCCAGCTGGTTTTCAGAGCAGAGTAGGCCACAGCAGGAAATGTAGCTCAGGGCGGGGTGGGCTAGGGAGCCAGCAGGTTATCAGGCAAACAAAGAGGGGAAACTAGGGAAGAAATTATGCACTGAATGTTTGAGCCGCCCTACCCCCCACCCCCGCTGCCTTACCAAATCCATCTGCTGAAGTCCAGCCCCCAGTGGAATGGTATTTAGAGGTAGGACCTTTGGGAGGTCATTAGGGTCAGATGATGTCATGCCAGTGGGGCCCTCACGATAAGAATGATAAGATTAGTGTCCTTTTAAGAAGAGACAGGCCACGCTCCTGCTATAATCCCAGCACTTTGGGAAGCTGAGGTGAGTGGATCACTTAAGGTCTGGAGTTCAAGAACAGCCTGGCCAACATGGCAAAACCTGGTCTCTACTAAAAATACAAAAAAATTAGCCGAGTGTGGTGGCACATGCCTGTAATCCCAGCTACTCGGGAGGCAGAGGCAGGAGAATCATTTGCCTCCAGGAGGTGGAGGTTGCAGTGAGCCGAGATCGTGCCACTGCACTCCAGTCTGAACAACAGAGTACTACTTCGTCTCAAAGAAAACAAAAACAAGAGGAGACACAGAGGGAAGGCCCTGAGCATCTGCCAGCTGGAAGAGGCCCTCACCAGAGTCACATCAGCTGGCACCTTGATCTTGGACTTTCCAGCTTCTAGAACTGAGAAATTTCTATTGTTTAAGCTACCCAGCCTATGGTATTTTATTGTGGAAGCCTGTATTAGTCCATTTGTGTTACTATAGAGGAATATCGGAGACTGGGTCATTTATAAAGAAAAGAGGTGTCATTGGCTCGCAGTTCTGCAGGCTGTACAGGAAGCATGGTGCTGGCATCTGCTTCTGGGAGGCCTCAGGAAGCTTACAGTCATGGTGGCAGCAGCCAGAAGCCAGCATGTCACATGGCGAGATTGGAGCAGAAGAGCTAGCGGGGAGGTGCCACAGTCTTTCAACACCCAGATCTCATGTGAACTAATTGAGCAAGAACTCATTTATCAAGAGGATGGTGCTAAACCATTCATGAGAGACCCACCCTCATGATCCAGCCACCTCCCACCAGGCCCCAGCTCCAACACTGGGGATTACATTTCAACAGATTTGGATCGGACAGACATCCAACCCATATCAGAGCCTGAGCCGAGTAAGACAGGAGAGGTTTAAAAGAAATACAAGTCTGTATTTGCTGCCTGATTGTATAATACGAGCCACACAAAGGACAGTGGGAAGTCAGACAGGATCCCAGCATTTTGACAGTGGCAATTCCATCCCAGAGCCAGGAAAACTGGGGAGGAGGGGGGTTTAATTGGAGACAGAGACTGGGGAGGGCAGGTCGTCCAATGGGAAATGGCTACAGATGAAGGGCCAGAAGGGGAGTGGGGACAGACAGGAGAAGAAGGCGGGGCCAGAAGTACCCAGAAGGGAGCAGAGGAGCCACAGGCGTGACCCCGAGAGCTCTGGCTCTCATGTGAACTAACCAGTGAAAACTCATCATCAAGAGGATGGTGCTAAACCATTCCTGACGGCTCCTCCCTCTTAAAAAAGGAGCCATTTTTTAGCAGACCTGAAGGAGGTAAGAGGAGCAGCCATCAGGCATCTGGGGCTGCAGCCTCCTACATGCAAAATCCTGAGAGCTAACTGGTTTCAAAACCTCAGGAAGGCCTCCAAGAATCAGGACTCAGAAAAGAAACTCGGTTTGGTGAGAAGGTAACCGGGACCTTTGAGTGGGCAGCTTCACCAGAAGGTTGGGCACAAAAGCCAGCTTGCAAAGAAATAAGGAAGAAATGCCGCAGCGAGTGGAGGCTGCTGGGTCTAGAAGCCCGACTGGGAGAAACACAAGATGAATAGGACAGCAGAGACCCTTGAGGACTGGCCAGGCCTGCAGGCGGTGGGAAGCAAACTGCAAAGGGCAGAGCAGAAGAGCTCAGACCCCGGCACCGAGAGGGGAGAAAGGAAGGCCCCTGAAAGGGAGTGGCAGGATCTTCAGAGGGAGGGAGAGGAGGTTGGGAGGATCCGCACGGAGGCAGAAGGGAGCGGGAGTTGGACGGGCTGGGGCAAGGTAGGGGAGGAGGCGCCGTCCTCCTGAGAACCGGCCCTTGCTGAGCTCCCCATGAGTGGGAACGGGAGTTAGGCAGAGTGGGAAAGGGCCGGGACGCGGGCCACAGTGCAGGAATCTAGAAGTCATAGTCAAGATTCTTTGGGCCTGAATTGAGGGTGGACAGAAGAGCTAGAGGCAGCCTTGGATTCTCTGCGAAACGAGAAAGTCCTAAGCCTGCCAGTTCTAACTGAAAATCACATCTAGGCCCTGGCCACGGCTCACTGGCTCATTGTCTCAGGTTTCCTTCCCTGTGGCCTGGACTCCGAGCTGGGGATGTGCCTGTGGAGTCTGTGCTGGGGAGAAAGACGGAGGAGGGGGTGAGG